TAAATACTTGTTCCTTTTCCCCTCAGCAAAGGTGTGTAAAGCAAAGGCCAAGCTTGCTCCAACCTCTTTATCCACTCTCCCTCTTAATTCTGAGATAGCTCCAGCCTTTTATACAAATTCTTAAGATGGGAACCAGTCTAACAATGGCTTTTATTGCAAGGAAGTATACAGGGCCTGTTCACACTTGTTCTGATTGTTTGATTCAATAAAAAAGTACCTAACTAACAAAGGTAATTTACTTTTAAGTGGGTGGTGGAATTAATGGAGCCCATACTTACACGTATAGTTATTTGCATGTTATTCCCGCCCCCCAATCAAAATACCAGCTCCTTGAGAGTAGGTACCTTTCCATGTATTCCCAGGCCTTAGCCTGCAATACATAAGTGTTCAAAAAATTCTTGACTGACTGACATGGTGTACTAAGCAGGCTGCAAGACATTATAAATGAGGAATAACTCAGGAGAAGTTGAGTAAAGGATGTTATCCAAGAAATGTAATGAATGGCAAAAAGAATGGATCAGTCAAACAGATAAAGCCAATGGACAGCCCATGTGTTTCACTGCTACCCCCCAATGCCAAGAGACCCTAAGGGGAAAACACCTCATTCCACACATACATACACTACTGTCTATGGTAAATTTATGGGAGAGCATAGATGAGTCACACTGGATGGACAGACAGAAACAGGTTATGATCTGAATCACTGCAAGGAATGCCTACATTGATGGAATCCATTAGAGTACCACAGCAGTAAGATGTTACAAGAAGGAGAGGGGAAAATCATGGAACAGAAATTCCAAAAGCATTTGAAATCACTATTTTGGAGAAGTACTTTATTAAATTTTTACATCTAAGAAACTGAAAGTGTTAGAAACCCCAATAAACTATTTGATATATTTATAAACATTGAGACTATACAAAATTCTTCATTTTACTAAAGTTCAAATATGAATACACATTATAATGCAAATATGAATACATATCATCCAACTTTTCTAAAACCTTGTCTACTAAACATTTATTTACTCCAGTAATAATCCTTTCTGAAATTTTTAAATAATTCAATTTCACCTAAATATCAATTTGATTAATATTGACAGCTTTGTTCAAGCTATAGCTACTTTCAAGGATAAAAAAGTATACTTAATGACCACCTACAATTGCTACAGGGTAGATAGGCTTTCTAGAACTCCCCCCGCAAAAAAAAACTAGATTTTTTTTTTACTACCACATATTCAGGACTAAATCAGTCCTGCTTTTTTGTACTAACAAGTGTTGCACTAAGAATATAGTTAGTGACTCGGGACTTAGGTAAATGCTTGAAAATCCAAGGTCTGAACATTGAGTTCTCATAGCATTTTCTAAAACCAAAAATATTCCAAGCTGAATTATTTCTTTTCTTCCTAACACTGTCCAAAGAATTGGCTATCACCTTTCATCAGAGGCAGTTGCATATCAAGGAGATCTGTGTATACATATATATACAATATATAATGTGGCTATATCCACATATATGTTCCTACAGTTCATAAAGCACTTTGAAATCAAAGATAGTCTAAAAACTAAAAATCCAATTACACATCTAAAGAATGGTTTATGATAAAACAAAGCAAAGAACAACAGTCTTAAATAATCTTACAGCCAGCATGTTCCATAAACCAAATACCAACTCTTAAAACGCCTACTAACGACATTTTTCCTCCCATCATGGGAACCAGATCTAAATAAATTATTAAACACAGTGTAAAGGCATGCCAAACATTTCTCAGAACTTTCTTAAGATCTTAACAAAAAATCAAACTTTTTTCCCCAAAAAAATGAGGCCTAGGTTAAATATTTTATTTGGCTTCTCAAAGATAGACTGAGAAGTTGGGCATTAGCTCCAGACCAACTGCTGGACTTAGATCAAACACTGCCCTGTCATTTATCCAGTCAGTCAAAACAATGTTTTCCATCTAACCCATTAGTGTTTATATCCTAAAAAGCTGCTAATTAAATCCAGTTCTAGAAATCTATTTGTTAAACACATACCATTTAATTTACAAATAATAAATGGAGAAGGGAGAATTTGTGCCAAGATAGAAAACTGTCACTCTATAAAGCCAGAGGAAAAAAAAATCGAGATTTTAAAAATTCATCAAATTTCAAAAGTAAACCACACTAATAATTTTCAATCATTCTGTCAATTCAGACTTCCTGAAGTTACCTTATAATCAATGGCAATGAAAATAACATGATATCTTGATACTTATCAAATCTGAAAATACGTGAATTCAATTATTACATTACATTTAGTGACTTTATGTTTAATGAAGTTTAGTTTGGTGCCCTAAACAAAGTCTTTCCTTAAGATTACAATCTTTCTAACAAATATACACCGCACAGTGCTTTATTAAATTTTACACATAGAAAGGAAAGCACCTTAAAACCACTGGTATTAAAAAAAAAAAAACAACCAAAATACCACTGTATACATTTTAAGAACCTAATGGCTTACAGGGAAAACTCAACTTCAACTTCATTTTATTTGCAGAAAATTATTGCAGAAAAAAGTTCATACTTTCATCTTCTCCATCTTCTCCATTTAGGCATGGATATAAGAAAGATAAATAGCAAAAATCCTACTTTTGATGCCTATTGCTCACCTGGAGTCATAGCCATATGCTTAAAGTCATTATAGACACAGAATTGAAAAGGTGAAGCCAGCACACATTCAGTCTAAAATAAATCTCCCATATTTATCAACCAAATATACATCAGAGTTTTTAATCTCAGAGGTTTTCATGGACTCTGAAAGTGATAGCAAATGCTTAATTACCAAATCCATATACCAACAAACTCAACAATTATAGTTTTTTCTTATATTAACCAACAAGCATTCATTAAGCGCCTATTTATTAGTGTTACACACTGTAATAACCTCTGAGAATGCAAATATAAAAGTGCTACCAACCCTGCTCTCAGGGAGTTTACAGTCTATGGATGAGTACAGGCTATACAAAATAAATACACAGTGACCAAAAAACATGGAAGACCTCCTGAAGGAAATGATACTTGAGCTGAATATCGAATGAAGGTAGAGCATCCAAGGGACAGAGGTTAGAAAGGAAAGCAATCCAGGAATGGTGGACAGGAGGGAGATATAATGTCCTGCACCAAGAACAGCAAATAGCCCACACTAGCTAAAGTGTAGAGTTCAGGAAAGGGAGTAATGTGTAACCAGCCTGGAAAGATAGGCTGGAGCCAGGGCTTTAAATGCCAAACAGGGTAGTCTGTATTTTATCCTAAAGGCAATGATGAGGAGCCACTAAAACTTTCTGAGCAAAGAAGTGAGGTCAGAGTTGACAGCTGTATGGAGGATCAATTGTAGAGAAAAGAGAATTGAGGACTAAAGACCAATTAGGAGCTACTGCAATGGTCCAGGCAAGAGTTAAGCCCCTGTACCAGAGTGGCTGTGGGATAAGAAGTGACAAGGGGATAGATGTGAGTAATATTGAGAAGGTGGAATCCACAAGAGTTGGCAACTGATTAAATATGGACACTTTCTCTGTAACAAGGGTCAAGAATCAAGAATGACACTAAGGTTAGGAACACCTTGGTGATGGGAAGAATGGTGATGCCCCCAACAGAAACAGAGGTAGATTTAGGTGGAAAGATAAGAGTTCTGTGAAGGAAAACAATTTTACTCACTTCAAATCATTATATAAACTTTTATCATTCATCAAACCTTATCTAAGACACCTCTTTTAATAAAACTGGGTTTTCTCAGTAGTTTTTCAGATAAACTTTAGCAACCTGGAATTTTTTCCAAGGACAGAGTAACTGACTCATTTAGACATATCTTCACAACAAAAATCAAAATTTGTTTACAGTATCATATCAGTATTCAATACACCTGAAAGCATAACTATGAAACAATATACTTTTTTAAGTTCAAGACTAGCAATTTTTTTGTTGTTTTTTTTTTCAGTTGGCAGACTTCAGCCAAATGGAAGGAGGAAAAGACTTTCCTGATTGATATTAGAGTTCATATAAGTAAAAAGAATTTTTCTTTTCATGTGAGTCCTGAATTTACAATGAAATACAAGTTCTTGATTTACTTAACACACACAAACACACACACCTTCTATGAGCTCACAAAAATAAGCATTCTAAAAGGCTAGGTTACAATTAACACCACCAAAACACAAAATGTGTAGAATAAGCCTCATTATCATTACTCTGATGCTAGGCAATAAAAAAGTGGAATCTTCAAGAAAAGGTAACCACTCTACACAAGTCCTCCACAGCCAATAAAGACTTGCAATGTATACAAACACAGCTTCCAGGTTACTCCCGACTTGCAGCAGGGAATCAAGAAAACGCCTTTAACCTGAATACTCATAGCAAAGCGAGGTGGAAACATCCCCAAAACTCTTGGCGCTCCCATGGGATGAAGCACATCCCCATGCAGGCTGGCAGAGCATGAGGTGAGCGGCACAGCAGCCTCTGGCTCCCCGGGACAGGAGCAGGGAGGGCTGGTGCTGAGAAGAGGCTGAAGAGTGCCCCGCTCTGGAGCTCCGAGGACTTTTCATACTCCAAGGTTCAAAACCTGACCTCCCCTCTACACACATACATGGATACATACACACACACTAGCATTCGCACATTCTCACACTCACAAACACAGGCGAGCACACAAACTCACTAAAACACTAACACACGCGCGTGCGCACACACACGCACATTCCCCCGCACTCGCACTCCCACTCCCCCAACAAAAGGCCAGGGGTGGCAGGGGGCCGCCGAGGGTTTCCAAAGCGGCGGCCCAGGACGCCGCTCTGGGTCAGCCTTGGCCCGAGGCCTTCCGACCCCGTCCCGACACCTCCTCCCGGGCCGGGCCTCAGCTCCCAGGACCACAGGGGGTGATCGCGGCCCCCTCGGCTGGGCCGGGCCTGCCCCGCCCCGCCTCGGGCTGGGCTGCCCCGGGGCTCCCCGCCGGCCCGCGGCCCTCCCCTCACCTGTCAGGCGCAGCTTGACGGGCCCGTTCCTCCGGCCCCCGGGGTTAGACATGGCCTCGGCCTCGGCCTCGGCCTCCGCGGCGGCGGCGGCTAGTCCAGGCCCTGGGCGCGGGGCGCCGGCCCGGGCGTCTCCCTGTATCCGAGTGCGGGGCAGGCGAGCCGGGGGCGGGCGGGCGGAGCGAAGGCGCGGCGGAGTCACCAGAGCGGCCGGGGCTGGGGCCGGGGCTGGGGCTGGGACTGAGGCCCGGGCCGGGGCTGGCGCTGGGGGCTGAGCAGCCGGAGCCGCGGCCGCGGCGGCCCCAGGGTCCCGGATGTGCCGAGAGTCCTCGCCATGAGCCGAGGAGAGAGCGGGACCCCGAGATCGCTCCCACCGCGCCCGCCCTCTCCTCCGGCTCCTCGGGCTCCGGCCAGACCCCCGCTGCCCCGCTCAGCTCGGCGGACAGGGGCCGGGCTGAGGCGACGCCGGGGCTGCACTCGAGGTTCCTCAGTCTTCCTTCCTCCACCCGCCCTCCCTTGGAAGGAACGCGTTCCAGCCGACGCTGCCACTCAGTCTGGGCGGGGGGGCCGAGCGTGTGGGGGGGGGGGGTGACAAAGAAGGTAGAAGATCTGGGGCGGGGCCTGTGACGTCACGGGGAGCGCGAGGGGACGGAAGAAGCCGAAGCCGAGAGGAAGCGAAGAGGCTCGGCCGCAGACGGTCTGGACCTATCCCCTGGCCTTGGCACTGCCCCGCCTCCTCACATGCCTTTCAGGATCCTCTGGAGGGAGAAGCATCCCCTGAGCCCGGAGGAGGCTGGTGACCAACCTGGCCTCCTCACCCTGAGCCGGGGAAGAGATTCCGTTCCATTCTTAAGGGGTGGGGTCAAGAATTGCCCCTCCACCCCCCGCCCCCCGAGCTGGGGCTTGACCGGACTCTCAACCGAATAACAACTTTGCTCCATGATAGAGCCCCTTCTAGCATTTAAAGCGCGAGCCTCACCACGACCAGAGAAAGGAAGAAATGATTCTTCCCGTTTTTCAGTCGAGGAAGCCTGGACACTGGGAAGTTAAATGCCTCCCACCCCCACCCCACCCCTTCTTTGCATTCTGCCTGGAGCAGCTGGGCTACCTTCTCTTAGGATGGTCCTGTTGCTATGACACTCCGCAGGCTTAGCGTCCCTCCCAACCCCTCCCTCCAGGACTGACAGCTGCAAAGCGTTCCTGAAGCTCTTGCTACCTTGTGTCTACACAGTCCCCAGTGCAGAGCTCTGGGGATACAAAGAAAAACGGAAAAACAAGTCCCTGCTCTGAAGAAGCTGACCTTGAGGGAGGGAAGCAATATGAACATGAAGAGGTCTATATATGCAAGATACGTTCAAGGGAGATAGAAGTGTAATCAGCTAGTGTCGCTGTAAAGAAGATGTAGCTGGGCAACACCCCCTTTCCCCCCTCCCCGAAAGAAAAAAGAAAAAAGAGAGGGGCTGTTTCTTCCCTGACCGAGCTTTTCTCCTCCCATTGTGTGGCCTTAGGGCGGGACCTTCCCTTCAGTCTCCTCTACTTCACACTTCCCCTCTTCCCAGCCAGAACTGGAGTTTTGCCTAGGACTCGTGAGTTCAAAGTCACATAGTCTGGGTTATAACAAAGAGTTCGCATCTATAGCCTAGGGGAAAGGGAAAGCCTGGGATGTGGATTCAATTCTGCTTTGGGGGAAGCTTATAAAATTAATGTTATTACTAAAATCATAAGACCTTGATACTCACAAATTTGGGGGTGCTATAACTACAGCTATATGTAAACGGTGCAATGGACCTGAGGTCAGGAAGACCTGCGTTCAAATCCAGCTTCAGACACTTGTTAGCTGTGTCACCCTGGGCAAGTCACTTAATTTCTTGCCCCAATTTCCTGAACTGTAAAATGGGAATAATAATCACATCTGCTTCGAAAAGTTGTTGTGCTGGTCAAATGATAATAATTATAAAGTGCTTGTAAAGGATATATTAATGCTTATTCCCTTTCCTCCTCCTACATTGAACCAAAATGTAACTCTCCGACCTATTTATTCTATGTGTTTAAGCTAATCAGTGGCATTCCTCATTTCCCCTTTTCCAAGAACAGAATAAATGTATGTAGGTCAAAGCAGTCATAATTGACCGTGGATTTTGTGGGAAACAAATTGAAGATAAAGAAACAAAGGAATGGGGTGGGGAGTGGGGAACAACACAGGAGCAGCAGTTAGCAAATAAGGAAGTGAAAGTTGCAAAGAGTAAAACCTTTCCATAGTTTTCCTTAGTTCTTAAATAGACAGTTGTCTGGCAACTTGCTTTTGAGTTTCTTTGCTCCACTTAACAAAGACTGAGCACTGACGCCATCCTTCCTTGCTTAGTTCCCTGTCCCAGAACACACACTCTGCCCTAAAAAAAAACAATAAGCACTTCTCTTCAATGACATCCACCCCTGCAACTGCCGCCTTTCCATATTCTGTCTCTCCCCTTCTCTCACAGACTACTTCTTTTCAAAACTTGCAGACGCCATTGAAATCTGTGGTTTCAGTCTCAGGGTAAGAAGAAATGCTTTTTTTCTCTGAGATTACAAACCCCAGAATTCCCAGTGAAGGCTCAGACCCTTGTCCTACCCACGGGACATTTAGACCAAGACCTATTCAATACCTTCTTACAAAAGATACTTTCAGAAAAGGCACAAGTACTGGGAGGGAACTAGGAATGTCCCTGAAGAAGATGGCACAGGTGGCACATAAACTGGGCTTTAAAGGAAGCCAGGGATTACACGAGGCAGAGGTCAGGAAATAGGGCAAAGGTAACAGATAGGAGCTGAAACATAAAGTGTGAAGAAAAGCAAGAAGACCATATTGTGAGTAGAAAGAAGTAATGTGTGTAAAGATTGGAAAGATAACAAGGACTCAGGATGTGAAGATGTTTAAGTGCCAAATAAAAGGGTGCACATTTGTTCCTGAAATCATCACCAACTATTTATTAAGCATCTACTGTATGCCGGGCACTGTCCTAATTCTAAAGTTCCCAATAGGGAGACATTGGAATTTATTGAATAGAGAGGTGACATAAGCAGGTCTGAGATTTTGGAAGGTCACTTTGACAATGGAAGATATATTAGCAAGGTAAGAAACTCAAGTTAGAGAGTTCAATGAGGCTATGGCAATAGTCCAGGTGAAAGTTAATGAGGGCCTGAACTAAGTTATCACTGTATGACTGGAGAAAATATGTATCTGAGAAATGTGGAGAAAAAAGGAAAAGATCTGATAATGTGGAATGAATGAAAGTGAAAAGTCAAGTACAACCTTGAGGCTACAAACTTGGGTGACAGGAAATATGTTGCGCCCTCGACAGGGCATATGGAAGTTTGGAAGAGGTATGGGCAGAAAGAAAATAAGTCCTGTTTTGGATATATGTTGAGTTTGAGGACATCCAGTTTGAAAACAGGGATCTTATAATTCACGCGAGATTAGAGCTGTATGTAAAGATCTAGGAATCACCTGCACAGAGATGATAATTGTGTCTCTGAAAGCTGATGAGAATACCAAGTTTGAGAGCATAGGAAGAATAGAGAATAAGGCCCAGGACAGATTCTTAGAGGACATCTGTGGCTAATGGGAGTGACATGAATGAACATCCAGTAAAGGAAACTGAAAACTAGGAAGGTAGGAGATTAACCAGAAGAAAGAAGAGTCATAAAAACCCAGAGAGTAACCAGAAGCAGGTGTCAAATGCTACAGAGAGTTTAAACAGGATAAGGACTGAGAATAATAGGCCATTAGATTTGGAAATTAAGAGATTACTGATTACTTTGGAGAGAGCAGTTTCAATTATGTAATGAGATCAGAGGCTACAGTGCAAAGAGTTTAGAACAGAGAGAGAGGAGAGCAATTTGGAGGCACTGAGTATAGATGACATTTTCAAGTTTAGCCAAGAAGGGGAGGAGAGATATAGAATAGTAGTTGATGGTGATGGTAGAATCAAGTGAAGATTATTTTTAAGAATGAAGGAGACTTGGGCATTTTTATAGGCAGCAAGGATTAAAGATTAGAGTGAGTATGATAGCAGGGACAATCTGTTAGATAAAATAGGAAAGAATGGGACTAATGGTAAATAAATAAAAAGAGATAGCCTTGGTGAGGTGAAAATCCACCTCTTCATCAGTGACCAGAGTAAAGGATGAGATAGTGGGAGGTGATGTCAGAAGTATGTGAAGGGATAATGTGACAATCACAGCAAATTAACTCCTTTTTATTTAAAAAAAAATAATTCTTATTCTGAACTTAACCAGCATCAAAAAAGATAAGCATTTCCATTTACAAAGTAGAACAGAAAAAGAAGATTATACATAAAGATGTGTATATACATTATGATCAGCTCATTTGTATTTTTAAGCATATAATAAATTCAACACATTATTTTCAGAGCTGTAGTATATGTTTCCTATGATCTTAACCTTCATTCTGTTCTTTTCATTTTTTTCCATTCTCAAGCATTTATTTTTTTTAATTCCCCCAACTGAAAAAAAAAGGAAAGGAAAATAAAATCTATGTAACAATAAGCATAGTCAGCAAAAGTCCCATTGGTTAAATGTCCCACACTGGTTATGTGCAAAAATGCATTTCTATTTCTGTATAGTAGTAGGTTATTACATCTCTATCAGGAGGACGGTGGCATTCTTCATCACCAGTCCTTGGGAATGATGGTCGGTCATTTTGTTAATCAAAGATCTTAAGTTTTTTAAAATTTTTTGTTTTTATATTGTTGATGTTATAATATAAATTATTCTCTAAGGTCTGCTAACTTGATTCTGCATCTATATATATATAGATAGGTTTCTCAAGGTTTTCTTCTGAAGGTTTCTCTAAAACCTCTTTCATCATTTTTTATAGCACAGCACTATTGCATTACATTCATATAACATAATTTGTTGTCATTCCCCAATTAATGAGCATGCCCTTAATTTACAGTTTTTTCAAACACAAAAAGAGCTGCTATAAATATTTTTGTACATATAGGACTTTTTCATCTTTATTTATTTGATCTCTTTGAGGAATAGGCCTAGTATTGGTATTGCTGAGTGAAAGGACAT